CTGTGTGTCTGTCTGTCCGTGTGTAAACACGATAACTTGAGTACCGTTACAGCTAGGTTGATGAAATTTCATATATAGGTATTTTATCAAAATCGTAGATCCGTATCAACTTTTGAGCGATTTCCGATAACCGGAAGTGGTACTTTTCCTACTTTGAATTTTCAAAAGCCTATAACTTGAGTACTATTTCAGATAGATAAATGAAATTTCACATGTAAGTAAAAGATCTAATTCTCTACTTTCTGTAAAATTTTGAGTAATTTCCGTTGACTGGGAGTAGTACTTTACGCTACTTCCGATTTCTCAAAAAACTAATGTAAATTTTAAAAGTACTAATAATATTGCGCACTATTATGCGCTTTTTTATTTGGCGTTCACTTGGTGTGCAATTAATTTGTCTACGAGATTTTATTCTATTTTTAAAACTTTAAGTATTTAAAATGGATTAAAAATCATGTCCATAGCCCGAGTTCCTATCCCCTGTTATTTTATATAAGAATATTCGAGAAAGTTTAGGGGAGATCACTACCGTTTATTTGACGATGTTTTTCAACTAATTTATTTCAGGCCTTAAATCATTCATATAAATGTATGAGATTTAAGAATGGAAAAGATTTAATTACTACTTAATTCAAAATAATATTTAGCTTTATATTTTATACGAGCCGACCCGCTGCGTATCATACGCCGCTATTTAGTTGTTGTTGTTTTTTTCTACTTTTCAGTAATTTATAATTTGTGAATTCGACAGTGCCAATGCTGCCACTGAAAATTTTTGCTTAAAAACACTAAACCCCCCCTTTCCCCCCCCCCCCCCCCCCCCCCCACGTGAAAGCAGCCTCCTCTTAGTTACCTCCTCTAAGTTTAAAATCGTTTCAAACTAAATTATCTGCCCCTAATAGCCGTCACCAAACCCGTCTCTATGATTGTAAAATGTAAACAGCGTGACCACAGCTCACCAGACAATGTGGGGGTGGGGTGGGGGGTGGTAGTGATAGTGATAGAGAGAAAGAGAGGGGACTGCAAGGAGGCGCTTGCAGCTTGTTTTCTGACGGCTCCCAGAAGAGAATTATATATATAGATGATATTTAAAAATAGCTCCCCCCCCCCCCCTTTTTTTTTTCTTTTAGTTCTTCGCTGAGAGACGTCTCCGGTCATTAAAAAGCTAAATTTGGTTGTTTTACAAAATAAGTTCTTGTAAACTTAAAACCATGAAAGTGAATTTTATAATAAAAATTATCTGAGCCTTAATTAAATTAATGTGTCAATTAAAAAGTTAGTTCTGTAATCAGTAATGTAAGTTGATTATCCGAACAAGACTTCCGGTTGTAAATAATATGGTGGCCTCGATAGAAAAAATAATATTTTGGTGCCAATAACAAGTTCTAAAATCTACTAAATCAGCTAACCGAATAAGGGAAGCTAGATCTATCTATTTGTACATCGGTTGTCTACCTTTGTTCGAGTTATTGCAAGTGGTGACCTCCCCTGTGGCTTAAGACGTTTCCTGTCTCAACCTCTTTTACACTGATGTGACATTTACTTCCCTTCGCGAGTCTAGATCTAGACCTAGACCAGCTTAACGCATCCGAGTTTGTCCGCACTTAGAACTAGGCAGAGGAATTTTTTATTTATTTTTTAATTCAATTTCAACTCTATTGTCATAGTCAACTAAAAATGGAAAAGTAACTTTTTTTTTACTTTTTTCCAATATTAAAATAAAATAACTAAAGATAAACGCTCTCATGCGTTTATAAATGTAAAAATAAAACGAACGAAAAATAATATTCTAGGTGTCTAGACTTAGCTGTAAGCTATACGCATATTTAAAGTATTGCCCTTATCAATGCACTTGATTAAATCTGATACTATTAAAAAATGTGCTTAAACTTAAGGTTCTTAGAAAAATGCTCAAGCGGAAAACTGCGCAAAAAGAAAAATCCGCGAAGTACAAACTAATTAGGCCTATACTAATAAACTTTAATTTTGTCATATTTCGTAAATATATATATACATTATTATGCTAAAAAGTATAGGTCTTTAAAAGCTCGATTTTAGAAAACAAAAATGCCTTTGCGCACTTTTTTTTTCGCAATTTTTCGTTGCGCATATTTCCGCTCTCCCTTAAACTCGATGTACTATTTTTTTAAGGTAAATATTAATCAAGATATAATGTTTGTATATTGTTTTGATATAAACGCTATCCAGTGTTTCTTCCAGACTTTTTTCTCCGGGGGGGGGGGGGGGCACTTGAAATTTTCGGGGGGGGGGCGGTAGACTTTCTTCGGGGGGGGGGGGGGGCGGACACTGTTAAAAGTATATATTTTCTATATAAATTTCATTTCGTTCGGGGGCGGTAGATGCCTGGAAGAAACTCTGACGCTATCCAGTACGGTATTGTATGGAGGTATCTTTTTTCTTGGTAGCTGTTTGGGAAGGGGCTAGAAATTAGTGCTGACGGGTCAGAAATAAGGTCTGGACCGGAAGTAGGGTTAGAGCAAGTGTAAAGGTACCAATACAAACAAAAAATAGATTCGAGTAGGTCCTAAAAGGGTTTAACTAGCAGAGACGTAGTGAGGGGGGGGGGGGGTGCGGGGGTGCGGACCGCACCGGGTGACACCATTTAGGGGGGGGGGGGGGGGTGACACCAAGGCAAAAATAGCAAAATATATAGAGAAAAATGATAATTCCACTTTTTTAAGTGATGAATTCCAGTGTTAAATAGTGTTTTAAGCGGTGCAAATCGAAAGTTTGAGGGAGGGGTGCAAATCGAAAGTTTGGATGGGGGGTGCAAATCGAAAATTGAAAGTTTGTCCCCGGGAAGGCTCGCTACGCCTCTGGGGGGTTGTCACCATTAAGGGCCGCACCGGGTGACACCCGACCTCGCTACGCCACTGTTAACTAGTAACATATATTTATTGTTTGTGTCTATAATTTATATTCACAGATTATCATTTATTTTAAATTTGTTTTTGTTTTGTTTTGCTGCTGAAAATATATTATTTAGAAACGTTCCTGTACAGGCTATAAACTAGTATAAACTGATGTTTGTAAATTATTTGTGAAGGGAAGGCCATATATCCCAGTCGTATATAAATTATTTTAAAATTATTTGTGAATGCAGGCTTATCTGTACAATTATTATATAAATAAATTATGGGTGTATCTATTTACAAACGATATTTTTTTTATAAATTGTGTTTATATCTACTGGCCATAAATTATTACCTTATACATTACGAGTGTATATTTAGGCCTGTAAGCCTTATCTATAAATTATGTTTTTATACCTACTAACCATAAATTATTATTTATAAATTATATTGGTGTATATATATCAGTGTTTCTTCCAGACTTTTTTATCCGGCGGGCAGACTAAATTTTCCGGTGGTGGGGGAAGTCACTGGTAAAAGTATGTTTTCTATATAAATTCCATTTCGTTTTGGGGTGCTCCCCCCCCCCCCCAACCCCGAAAAGATACCTAGAAGAAACTCTGGCACCCCATATGAATGAAAGCCTGTCAGAACTTTTAAACAGCCCAAACCAATGACCCCAATCTGCAAATGACGTCAAATCCATGTCTATAACTGACGTGAACACGGGCTAAAAAACATGGCGGCGTTTCCGGTCGGAATGAGATGATCGCGTGCAAACAGTGAACGCCCCCTGGCTTTGTGCCGCCATGCTGAATTCGTTGGGGGTGGCGCTTAGGTTGGGGGTGATGGGGTTGGGTTGAGGGTGAGGGTGAGTTAGGGACGTCGGACGTGGGAGTTGATTACATGCGCGCGTTCATGTTTTGAACTGGCGATTTAACTCAATAATGGTACTATCTTTTTATATGCCGATTTCAAAGAAACAGATGAGCTCTACTTCATCTACTCTATGGAACCCTGGAATCTGAAAGGACACTTAACTTACTTTTTTTTAATTCTTTGTTCTTAATTATAATGTTGGGCGGGATTTCCGCTAACGCAATTAAATATCACGTGTCAATATGTTATGCGCCATAAGGGCCGTTGACCCCGATTTAAGCCTACTTTTCTTTTTGGATTTGCTTCCATAGCCTTTATCCAACCAAGAACAAACTACAAGGCAGCAATTGTTTGATTTTTGAGTTGTCTCTCCTAGACGGGTTGCTGTCCTCAGCCATCGAACTTCATCTCTGTCGAAAGATGGACTTTAGAGTTTAGCACTTAACGTAATGATGAAGATAATTCAGTGTATTCTTCTTCTTCTTCGTTCTTAATTTTAGAGTTGGAAGGTATACCCCTCGAACACAATTAAGGATACGTGTCAACTGGTAATGCGCCATTGATTTGCTTCCATAGCCTTTGTCCAACCAAGAACAAACTACAAAGCAGCAGTTGTTTGATTTTGTAGTTTTCTCTCCTAGATGGGTTGCTGTCCCCAGCTATCGAGCTTCATCTGCCGGGTGTCTAACTCAAGACTTTCCAGTTTAGCACTAATCGTAATGATGAAGATAATTCAGTGTATAAGCTGAATTCTTGTATGTCTTTTCCGGCGCCCCTGTCAAAGTAACCTATCAAAATAGTAACAGTGGCCTATACATGTTTCATTTGTTTGTTGGTCGCTGAGTAAATATCTTAGACACGTTTTAGGGATCAGCGCCTTTAAGGTTATAATGTAAACAAAGAAAGTATTTTTATATTTGGCATTTTAGTGCACTTAGCAGCTTGTTATTAGAAGACTTACGTACGTGTTGGATGTTTTTATTATGGCATGGCTCACGACTGCTAACCCAAATGTCTTGAGTTCGGAACCTGGGACATCCTTGAGTCCATGGAGTCCAGCTTTGATGAGTACCTGACTCGCATAACGAAAAGTAAAATCGGAATAGTATAGCGCTGACCACATTATCCCTTCATATTCTGTGGTCACGGAAACAGGTGAACTCTACTTTATCTGCCCGTACACTCCCATATTTGAAAAGGTTACTTTCATTTCTTAATTTATTTTTAATTAATTTTTTTTTTAAACAGATAGAACAGCGTGCGCGAAAAAGTATCACCAAATTGTCTCCGTCAGCGTGACGCCCAGTTCCCCCACGTGATCGGGATTACATCATCGTGAATGTCCAGAGACGGCGGAGGTCATGGCGACCTGCAAGGAGAAGGTGGCCACCTCGACCAGCTCCTCCCCCGGCCCCCGGGAACGGTTCCTTCTGACTCCGCCCCCTTGTGACTCCGCCCACTCCCTAGAATGGGCGGACAGCAGCAGCAGCAAGAACAGGCGGTAAGTTTGCTAGTAGCGTACATGGTATGCTGGGAGCGTCATTGGTATGCTAGTAACGTCATTGGTGTGCTGATAGCGTCATTGGTATGCTAGTAGCGTCATTGGTATGCTAGTAGCGTCATTGGTATGCTAGTAGCGTACATGGTATGCTAGTAGCGTACATGGTATGCTAGTAGCGTCATTGGTATGCTAGTAGCGTCATTGGTATGCTAGTAGCGTCATTGGTATGCTAGTAGCGTCATTGGTATGCTAGTAGCGTCATTGGTATGCTAGTAGCGACATTGGTATCCTAGTAGCGTCATTGGTATGCTAGTAGCGTCAATGGTATGCTAGTAGCTTATTTTTATACGCTAGTAGCTTACATGGTACGCTAGTATCTAAAGTTTATATGCTAGTAGCTTACTTGGTACTCCAGTGGCGTACATAATACGCTAGTAGCTTACATATAATACTATTAGCTTATATGGTACGTTAGTAGATTACGTGAAATGCTAGTAGTTTATATGGTATGCTAGTACCTGTCATTGTATTCTACTGGCTTATATGGTATGCTAGTAACTGACATGGTACGGTGGTAGCTTAAGTGATACATTAGTAGCTTACATGGTATGCTAGTAGCCTACATGGTATGGTAGTATATGTCATATCCTACTTGCTTAAATGGCAAGTAGATTACTGATATGCTATCAGTTAACTTGGAAGGTACTTAGTTTTCATGTAACGCTTCTCGTTAGCCTTGAATCAAGTATTTTACATGCTATGCCCGTAGTTTATAGGCGTGCTGTTAAGAAAAAGCTAATGCAAGTCGGCCAATATGACAGTATTTTACTAGCTTGCGTGGTAGGTTAATCAGTAATTAACGCGATTTGCTTAATTAAATGATGACATAGTAATTTTTATGGTGTGCGCACAGCTTATAGACCTACTGTTAGGAAAATGCAGTTGTATCCAGCGAGTAGTTTGAAAGTATTTTAGCAGCTTAAGAGGCAGTTAAATCGGTAACTAAAGCGATTTTCTTAGATTGTGATCTAGTATTTTACATGTATAATGTGTTGTTACCACTTTATGTTATTAGTTTTTAAGGATGCTAGATGCTGGATTATTAGATAGCTGGATGATTAGCTCATTGTTAAAACGGTATGCTAATGGTGTATATGGTGTAATAGTTCGCTTGTTGATATGTTAATAGTTTACACCAGGGGTCTCCAAACTACGGCCCGCGGGCCGGATGCGGCCCGCGAAGTCCTCTCATCCGGCCCGCGGAGATCTTTTTGTCCAAGGAAAAATCGTTTGTTGGTGATGGCTGAGGAACTTGCTCAGAAAAATCAAAGACATGCCTGGAAGAAACTGGCCCCCGAATTGAAATTTGATAGTTAATGCGGCCCTCGGATTGAAAAGTTTGGAGACCCCTGGTTTACACAAAGGAACAGTTGATGTATTGCCTAAGGTTGAAGATGTGTACCCAGCTCAGCCGTTCATATTCTAGTTTACAATTTGCAGGATCTTAATATTGATCTGATTTTAACCATTAATCAATTAACTAATTTTAACCAACAAGATAAATTAGAGGTTTGAGATTATAATACATCCACGCCAATGAAGATTAAAGATGTTATTTTACATTGTATGAAAATGTATATTTCTTTTAACTTTAGTATGTTACATAGAATTGTCAGGCTAATGGTATCTTCAAGGCGGATTTAAAATTTAGTTTGCTGTTAATCAGCCAAAATGTTAATTAGCCGGCTGATGTTTGGCACGTTGTTAAGTTAATTAGTTTAATTAAAGCGCCGTTTTAGACATTAGTTGGTTCTCTAGAGTTTTAAGATATCGTTTTGAATAAGGTGCTAGTCGTAGGACTTTTTCTACACGCAAGGTTAGGGTTGGCTAGTGTATGTATGATTAGGATTAGGGTTATGGTTCAGCTTAGGGCTAGTGTAAGGATTATGGTTAGGGTTAGAATTAGGGTTAGGATTAGAGTTAAGGTTAGGGCTTGTGTAAGGATTATTTTTAAGGTTAGGATTAAGGCTAGAGTTAAGGTTAGGGCTAGTGCAAGGATTATGGTTAGGGTAAGGGTAATTATTATTATTAGGAATAGTGAACATTTTCACACACACACACAAACACACATACACACACTCACACACACTCATGTGCGAATATTATATAAAACCTCGCTTTTTACATCTGCATTAGAGATAATTGCGCAGCTTTAACAGAGTTTTCACTACAAGAAATAATATTATGAAAGCCAGTTTTTTTTTTCAACGTCTTCATCCTAACCTTCCACGGAGCCAAACTTTTGCAGAACAACAAAATAATAAACGATATCGAAGGAAGTGCAATATAATTTTTATTGAGACAAGCCCATCATACAAATATATATATATATATATATATATATAATATATATATATATATATATATATATATATATATATATATGTATGTATATATATATATATATATATATATATATGTATGTATGTATAATCATTCCATTGCCTCTTAATGTTAAATAAATGTGTATACCCACCCCGTTCCGCCTAACGGAAAAGTAGGCCTACCCATCAACTTATGTAAAAAACTATTACCGTACTAATGTACCTGTGCTAATCATCCTCTCCACCCCCACCCCCACCGGCACCAGACGCAGCACCATCCACTCCTACACCATCGCCGTGTACCACACGCTGCCCAAGAACGCCAAGGCGATGAAGGAGGTGCGCGCGATGACGTCATCGAAAGCTGCGAAGAATTTGGTCTCGATCAGCATCGCCTTCATGTTTATTTACACGGGATTTGTGTCGTTACAGGTAGGTCAAGGTCACATTGATACGTCTTGTGGTGGTTGTTGTTTTGTTTTTTTTTTGTTGTTTTTTTTTTGTTCTTTGATACCTGGACTGATTCTATTTTTAGCTCTGTGCTCTTCAGAATGAGACCCGTGCTAGATAACGATCGCGCGCACTCAAAATTACACGCACGCACACACACACACACACACACACACACGAATGTGCATGCCAATACATTCCCGTTCCCCTTGAGTACACTCAACATTCCACTTTTGACACGTCTCAGCGATAAATGTCTTTCGCTGTGATATTTGCCGCTAATTTAAAATTATTTATTTCCCGTGCAGATTTTCTGCGATTCCGCTGTATTACATAGTTAGACAACAACGCAGGAAAAAAAAAGAAAATTAAAAAGCAATTGAGCAATAAAAACGAATTATCTTTGTAACTTGCTATGGGAACACTAAGGGGAGATAACAAACAATATTCGCCAAAGCAAAACTATAAGACGAATGTGTATAGTAGTTAATATGATACATAAGTTGTCATACAGCAGAAAATTGTAAACTTATGTTTACATCAACAACAAAATTAAAATATTTTTGACACTTATTTTCTAAATTTGTTATTCTTTTATGAACTATTTTTCAAAACACTAACCTAAGTTTTTGAAGTATTGTATAAATAAGCTTTTCTATAATGTAGTAATTTTGTTTAGGCAGCGGCAACCTCCTATTTATAATGTAAATTACATGTCTGAGGCAAATTTAAAAAAAATTGATCTTTTTTTTTTTTTTAAATAAACAAAATGGCTGGAAAGTTCGAAGCTTTAGAACAGTAACTAGAATTGTTCATTGAAAATACACGACGAATGGGTGTAACTGTGGGTGACTTTCAACCCCAAGGTCAGACTGTATTAATTATTTTTAAAATACAAACCATGGTAACAGAAATTAATGAGATTGATAAACTTCGGACTCCAATTCTTGATGTACAAATACCACTTGAAGTATTTGACAATATTGATGGGGGTAGAAATCCTAACCTTTACGCCAAAGACTGCTTAAAAAAAGCTTTGGCCAAAAATGAGCAAGTAAGGGGAAAACTGATTATTTGAAGAGGTTCAAAGCTATTGCTGCTGCTTGAATTGTCGAAAGTGTTTCCATCTAAAATGGATATGTACAGAGCTTTAAAGCAAGGCAGGGGCCCAACATAACTTACAATCATTCAGAAATTATACTCATGTTTATAAAACTTGAGATTTACTGACGACAATCCTTGGAGAATTTCACTGAATTTTGACCAGAAGTTTAGAGTGAACATTCACTCCATTATAAACACTATAGACCAGAGGCGTAGAGAGGGCGGGGTGGGGGGATGTGCGGACCTCACCGGGTGACACGATTACGGGGGTGACACCAAGGCAAAAAGTTGCAAAATGTAGAGAAGAATAATGGGGTTTTTTTCCAGTTCCATTAATAATTAATTAAAATCAAATTGTGTTTTAAGTACAAATAGACAATTATTATTACAAGGGGTTAGGTGTGACACCATGACGTAAACGCGCTAACTATAGAGATAACAATGCTACATCCAACTATATTATTAACAGACTTTAGATAAACATCATTACTATTACGTCTTCAGTGATTAAAACTTGTAGATATATATATATATATATATATATATATATATATATATATATATATATATATATATATATATATATATATATATATATATATATATATAAACATACTTTGTTTCTTAGAAAGGGGAGGGGCTTTCTTTTCATATTGTCAAATATTTACATTGCTTGTTCACATCAATGCGTAACCCAAGACTCAGTTAGTCCTCCAATAGGGCTGGTAAGTAGGTCACCAACCAGTTCTACGGCTCAATAAAACCTGCATGAGCCATAGAACTGGATGGTGACCTACTTACCAGCCCTCTTTGATATTTAATGAATACTTTTTTGTAAAGACCTGATAAAAATTGTTTTAGTGAATTGTCATATACATTTCTTATTTGGTTGAGTGACTGTACAAGTGAAAATAAATATATTAAATGTTACGAATATCAAATAAATAAATAAATATTATTTTATAATTTTACTGTATTCATAAAACATTATACCTGGAATAAGTCGAAAGCAAAGCGAAAGATAGATAGGGAAGAATGCTACACGGGGTGTAGGACAAAAGACCAACATCCAAAAGATCGACAGGACTAAAGGCCGACTGGAAATTAGGCCGACAGGTCATAAGGCACACACCCAAAAGGCACACACCCAAAAGGCCAACAGGCCATAGGGCAGACAAACCATAAGGCCGACTAACATAAAAAGAGTCAATTTTTTTGTAATCATGGTGATTCTGCCCCTCGAAAGACAAAACTATACGTCACACTAGCCATTTGCGTAAGAAACCAAACACAAAATGATTCATCCTTTTAATGATTTCATGATGATTACATAACGAAGTCATTGACCTAGGGCTCGGCGCAAGTGACATTCTAAGATGATTTTTATAAAACCAATAAAATTATCCCCAATAAACTTAACCCAACCCCCAACCCCACCCCAACCCCTTTCATATAACGGTATAAAACATGCAACTGCTGATTGTTAAATATAAAAAGTATCAAATTACGACCAATCATATCTAACTTCACAGTTAAGTCTTACAGCCGATAATGGAAATGGGCCGTCCGTCCCTTGTGACCTCGACGCTATTACAGTAAGAAAAAAGTATTTTAATTAAGCTTGAACTCGTCTGTCCTAATTAAGGCAATTTTAACCAAAAATATTCACAAAAATCATAAAAGAAATCACATTTTACAAATCACATTATACAAATCACATCTTTAATGTCAAAAACCACGCCTACTAGTTTCTGAGAGATTCCGGTGAAATACAGCATTCAGTAAAGTGACCCCCTCTGCAGTTAATTATTTCATGAAAAAATTAACGCTCTGTCTTGTTTTTAATTTAATAACAAGCTTTTATGTAATAATGCTCTAAAAAGTGGAAAATAAATTATACACTACTATTTAAATAACTATAAAGAAAAGCGTGGGTATCTTCCTAAATAATAATTTATTTTCTACTTTTTAGTGCATTATAAAAGCTTGTTATTAAAACGATTTTTATGATTTTTTTTTTCAAATTATTTTCTTGATGTTCTTGACGGAAGTTCATATGTTCTAGTTCGTCCATCCCAGCACGGTCGACTTCTATAATAGCACATTGGCTGGTTTTTACACGCTCTTTTCTTTATGATAGTAGTTATCGTTTCGGATCTCACGTCATTATGAGAGAAGTACTGTCGGGTACTAAATAGAGCTGGGTGGACTCGGGGACTTGCTACAGACGCGAATGCGAGATTTGAACTCAAGACTTGTGGGTTATGCCCTAAACTTCCTGTCGACCGGCCACGCCATCCCGAGTGTAATGTACAATGTTAAAACATGTGCATGAATTGTGTCCCAACTCCTAACAGAGGGATTTCATACGAATTTTCATTGAAAGAGGGGGTGGGGGGAGGGGGTAACCCGCTATCACACGGTATTAAATCTGAGGGTTAAAACTTGAAATGTGGACGATTACGTGACACGATCTGATATAGACGTGATCTATCAAAGACGTGATCTCTCAAAGACGTGACTTCTAAAAGACGTGATCTCTCAAAGACGTGACTTCTAAAAGACGTGATCTCTCAAAGACGTGATCTCTCAAAGACGTGATCTATCAAAGACGTGATCTGTCAAAGACGTGATCTGTCAAAGACGTGATCTATCCAAGACGTGATCTATCTAAGACGTGATTTTACATGAAAGTGATCTTATAATATACAAGAGCCCACAAATAACTTTATTGGAATAACAAAAAGTAATCTCGAAGTCTATTCGGCATGTTGTTGAAGCAAATTACAATAACGCCAATTTTTACTAAACCATCGAAAATGATTAGGATGTAAATAATAAATCAGAGTCTAAATGAAAAAAAAAATAAGTAGAACATAGTACAAGAAAAGTTAAAATATGATCGTTACTATTTTTTTATTTACATTTTTTGTTAATTTGCTGCAATTGAAATAACATACTTATGAATAAACGTTAAAAATTATTTTACTTTACAAAAATGACGTTTCAGTGACTGTTAATATTATCAAACTAAACGAAACTTTAACAGTTTAAATGAAATGATCCAATGGGAATAGGGGATCCAAGCAAAGATAATCTCTAACACAGAAGAGTGGGCGAGTTGTGTAAACTAATTTAAGCGAACCCCCGGGGAAACATAGGCAAGGGATGAAAGAAATCTGAGTGTTCGATTTACTAATGACTCGACATTTTAATCAGACTTTTAATTACGATCTAATTGTGTTGAGTTTTTGAAATTCTTTTTTTTTTATCTTATGATCTAGTAGATCAGAGAAAGTCTGTGAAAATGGATTTTTTTTTTTTAGATTTAAGTAGAAGATTGAAAAATATTGGTATTTAAAAATGATAGGTTATCTTAGTACTCGTTTTATGGGGTATTGTGGTTGTGAGTGGAGGGGTGAGCTTGGGGGGGGGGGCTTGAAAAATGAATACATAGTACCATATCATTATAAAATAAACGAGTTTTTATCCTGCTAATGTTGCTGTTAGTATGAGTGTTATGATAAGGTTTAGAGTGACATATAGGATTTCTGTTGTGGTCGGGGATAAGTTTAGGGTAGCAACACTAGCAAAACATCTTTGTCGTGAGGGTAAGGGTTATGCAGTGTCGGCGCCAGGTTATTTAGCGCCCTAGGCAAAACTTATTGAAACGCCCCCTTTCAAAACAAATTAATTTCTTAAACATATGTATAAGATATATATATAAGAAAACAATTAATTTAAAGTGACATATTAATGTTTTATTAATTGCATACACGTTATAAGTAGACACCAAAATCAAATTTTACTTGCCTCCTTCGTCTCAAAAGTTTGTACAGTTTGCAAGTGTAATCACATTTTTATTGAAATTGTCGCTAAGTGCACGAGTCTACTTTGTACTTAACGACATAGCCCCCCCCCTCCCCCTTAGAAAATTTAAAGTGCTTTCCCCCCCCCCCCCCCCCCCCCCGGGAGAAAAAGTCTGGGGAAAAACCACTGAATCACTTGTAGTGTTAGGCTCTCTGCAGTCCTCCCAAGGTGAGTTTTAAAACGGAACTTACCTGTTTCAAGCTTTACTGTCTTTAGTTATAATTATAAAATGTCTATATTGTGTGATTATGCAACGATTTTTTTGTTTTTGAAAAAAATAAAAGGTTATAAATAATATAGATGCCTAAAATTGTTATATATGAATCTTTTATGAGAGGGTGCAAAAATATGAAAAGACAATTAATTATATGTTTAATTAACGACTAAGACTGTATGTCTTCTAACATTAAGTATTGCAATCTATAACGGCTACTGATGTATTTGTTTTTCAACTTGATAATGCTAAAAAAAAACTAACAAACTATTTTGTTTAGAACTTAAGCTCTATATAATTTTACAATAGCAAATAATAACTTTAAGTTGTATTTTTATTTATAAGCGGTCAACCTAAGGTGCAGGAATTTGAAATGAATGTAAAGTTAAGCAAGGAATTATCTCCCATTTAAAAACCCCAAATACCAAAATTTTATTCAAGGGAAATAACTTTTACAAGACTAGCTAAATTAAACTAGTATAACTAAGACATGCTTGAAAAGCACAATAAAATAATCTAAATTTTATTACGTAATAAATATAATATTTCTTTTATATCTGCTATGTGACCTTGTAAAAACAATATTATATTTTACTGATTGATTATTTTACTGTAGGTTTTATTTGAAAGGCTAAAAATAGTAACTTTATTATAACATATTTCTATTAGATATTGATAATATTATTAATTTGCATTTTGTGGTTTCAAAAGTTAAACTAAATTTTGGATCCCCTTAATAAAGGGACGCCGTTCAAATAATCAGACTCAGGTAGCTGCTTTTGCCAAAATTGATGATTAAATATTTAAAACATAATTATTTAAAAAAAACAAAGTTTACGGTTAGTTATAAATTCCATCATATTTAATGCTTTATACCAATACTTTCAAAGTGGTAATATAGATTCCTAAAAAAACAAGATTTTTCAACTAGAGAACGCCTACCTCTCTTTGTAGTGTGTTCCGTACTGAATTGAAATCATGTAACTTACGATAAACTCGACTACTCGATATACTCAACTACATTCACAACACATATCAAACTACGACACCAACTCGTTTAACTTCACCAAGCTCTACAAACAGTATTCAAAATCAACGATTTCACTGGACCTACTACTACACTTAAACAGTCAATCTAATTCGATACCTTAATACCACAAGACTCGATACTCCCGAACTCCAGAACTACGATACTTCATTACCAGCATTCTCATTTCTCTTTTACCAATCAGATTCCACTAAATCCTACAACTACACAACCGCCAAATAAAAAATACGACATTTTAACACTTCGATACCTTATACCTACGAAACCATATCAGCAACAGCCTTCCGCCGTTACTCCCAAATCTAAACGAATCATCAAAACTTACCAAATAAGTACAATACTTTGAACACCCCGTCATTACAAAACTTTATACACCAGGCAGGACAGAGAATTCAAAGTCAGAGAAAACGAGACTTACAAGCCCTATTAAAATTAGATAACCTTGTGAAATGTTCGAAATTTAAATAACGAACTTATTTAATCGTTTTCTACATCAATTATGTGACACCAAATTAAAAAGGCAAAGTGACTGGTAAAAAGCGCCCCGACCTTTCCAAATTAGGGAGGTGGGGTTGCATTTTCAGCATCGCGAATAAATATAGGCCTATATACACCTAATTTTGGGGCGAGTGTGCCAAATTGATAGTTTGTCCTGGGTGCCGAAATAGATCGCTAAGCCTTTATAAAAGTTGTTAATTATCAGGTACTTTTTGATAATAGCGATTAAACATTTTGCGCCCCACTAGGGATGGCGCCCTAGGCGACCGCCTAGTTCGCCTTATAGGTAGCGCCGCTCCTGGGGCTATGCTTTGTTTAGGGTCAAAGGCAGGTTTAGTGGTCGATAAGAAAGCAACACTAAAAAAACAATCACTGCTATTAGCAGTGCTATTAGAATTAGGGTTATTATACTTGGGTTGTTGTTTTTGTTTGTTTCTTATTGCTGTTTTGTTTTGTTGTATTTGTTGTTAGGAATGGGATTAGTTCTTGAGTTTGTGCTAGGGTCAAGGTAGCAACACTAGCAAAAAGTAAACTTTTTTGTCTGTAATATAAGGTTTATGCTTAGTGTTGTGTTAAAGACGTTTAATGTTCGATTTTTGGCTATGGATAAAGTAACGACCAAGGCGTAAAGAGGGGGCGGGGGGTACATATGTCCCCGGGCGCTGACCCTAGGGGGCGCCAAAATGGGTTGGAAAAAAATTAAAAGCTCCTTTTAGCTGCAGTTTTGAATTATAAAATATATATGGTGGGGGTGCGCCAAATTGAAAGTTTGTCCCCGGGCGCCGGGAAGGGTCGCTACGCCTCTGGTAACGACGCTAAAAAAATTAGAATTCTATGCTTAGGTTGTGTTTGTTATTTTTCTGTTTTTGGTCAGTTATGGGATTAGTGTTCAAGTTAGGGTTAGGATTAAAATAGTAACACTAGAAAAAAAAAGCAGATACGACACGCCCTAACAGCTTCTTCACATTTTTTTAAAAATTTTGTTCACCAGAGCCTACAGAGCAGCCTACACCCCCAGGAGGGGCTGGGGGTCGTCTCCCTGAGCGTCATCTACGGCACGACGGTCCTGTCCTGTCTGATGGCGCCCTGGCTGATTAACCGCTTGACCACCAAGTGGACCATGGTCCTGGCCTTCTCCCTCTTCACCGCCTACTTCGCGGCCAACTTCTACCCCCGCCACTTCATCCTCATCCCCCTCAGCGTGGTCCTCGGCGCCCTGGCCGGGCCCATGTGGAGCGCCCAGGCCACCTACGTCACCACCCTCGCCCTGACCTACGCCCAGCACCGGCGCATCGTCTTCGAATCAGACGACGTCATCAACCAGTTCATGGGAGTATTCTTCGGGTTTTACCGCTGCAGCCAAATCTGGGGGAACATCATCTCCACGATAATCCTCTCCAAAAACGACACGGATATAGGATTTAACACGACTTCCGACGCGTTTTCCGAATTCAAAGACGCCCGGACGAATTTTTCCGGATCTCCACCCAGCTCTTCCAACGGCACTAAAAAATGCGGCGCCAACACGTGCACGTACGTCTTCGATGACGTCATATCCTCCCCGGCCGATGGGACCTACAGCAACGACCTCAACGACCTCGGCGCGTCCATCTCGGACTCGACCCGCTACATGCTGCTGACGACGTACCTGGCCTGCGGGGTCATGGCCGCCGTGGTCGTCATGTCGCTGCTGGATCAAATCCACCTGGGGAAGACGGAGGCGGATCCGGAGTTTTCCCAGTCGTCCTGGGAGCTGTGCCTGTCCACGGTGAAAATGCTCAAGGACACCAAGTGTCTGCTGCTGATGCCGATGGTGGTGTTCGTTGGACTGGAGCAGGGCTTCATGTTTGGGGACTTCACTAAGGTAAGACTATATATATATATATATATATATATATATATATATATATATATATATATATATATATATATATATATATATATATATATATATATATATATATATATATATATATATATATATATATATATATATATATATATATATATATATATATATATATATAAAACCAGTTTTTATATCAGATATTTTATCCGGGTGGGGGGGGGGGGTCACTTCAAAGTTTTCATGGGTGCACTTAAATTTCCGGTGGGGGGAGGTCGGTGGAAGTGAAGCGATGCTTGAAACAAACTTTTTTTTGCAATGTGTTTTGGGTTTGGACTCTTGGAGCTCATACTTAGCTAAGACAAAAAAAGTATAAAAGAGGTAGGGCTCATTGTTAGGGTAAACGATACCAATTTTTTATTACAAGCTTTTCATTAACTTTCTTCCTTTGTCTGTTGTCAAGCTTTTATGTAATGATGCGCTAAAAAGAGGAAAAATAAATGATTTCTTTAAATACATGGGTCGCTGTAATGTGTATTGGAAACTTTTACTAATATTTAGGAGGCGACCCGCGCTTTTTACAGTTATTTAAATAGTAGTGTATTGCTATATATTTAAAGATAATTATTTATTTTCCCCTTACCGGTAGTCTTTCAAAAGTTTATACAAAGCTATGAATTCGATATAATACCTATACATGAAATTTCGTCAACATAACTGTAACGGTACTCAAGTTGGCGTTTTCACATACATACAGACACACACAGAGACACGCGGACATAATTGCAAAGCCCAGTTTTTTTCGACTCGATCACACGTAAACCGCCGAGATTTTGATAAATCTGGATTTAGAATTTTTTCGCCCGATTAAAATTAATCCCCTAAACTCTGTATGTGATGAAATAGTGAGGTGTAAAACTGTCAAAACTGTCAACATTTCATGTGATTTTTGTGCTCGATGACAATACTTCCTGTGTACTCTGTATCCGAGAAAAGTAAAAATCTATATATTGTTGTTTTTTTTTTCCTCAGACATTAATTTACAACGTTATTTTTCTTTGTCATGGTCGCTTTAGTGTAACAGTTTTTATTATAAGCTTGTGAAGACTCATACACATTTACAATAGTAATACTTCTTTCTGACATGTTGCCTACTTTCATTCATTCAAGATGGTTTACTTATACATAGATCTAATACAAAACGTCTCATTTCAACTTTATTTTTAAACCTGAAAATGCAAATGTGTTATTAAATGGTGAATCAAGTGATTTATTATAACAGCATGGTGGGTTGAGGGGGTTTGAGATTGGGCTTATACGTCGAGTTGATATAGATCTGGAATTTTTTTTTTTTTTAAATACTTTTATTTGCAATTAAAACAAGTACATCAACATCAAATTTTTTAACATAATTTTGAACACCAAATGAAAACGAAAGTTTTTGCAAATGTACATAATGAATATTTACATGATGTCATGTATTTGATTATAAAAAAAAATTGCAAAGGATGACAGTAAAAGGGGTGAAGGTCAAATGAAAGTGTCAGAAGTCTGGGTGGGGAGAGGAAAGGAAATTTTTCAGAGAGGGTCAATGGGACAGTGAAGCATTTTCTATGTAGGGAAACAACTTAAGTTGACTAGTTGAAAGGGTGTTGTAGTGGTCGCATTGAGTTTTCAAAAGGTTGCAGTGTGAAAGATGAGGGGAAAGAGACAAGATTTAGAACTTTAAATAAGTTCTGGATAATATTTTTTAATAGATCTGGAAACACTGGATAACCTAAATAAATTCGCTTGATTGCCAAAATAATTCTAGATTATTTTAATTAGCTATTTACAAAAGCTAATAGCTTATAGTTTTAACTAGACTTAACTACATTTTTCAGAAGTGAAAAAAATTACATTTTAGATACAAATCAAATATTCTCTATAAATAATACTATTTTTTGGGATTACTGTTGGTAAATTACATTTATTATTCTGTAACCATCGGACATATTTGTAATTTGAACGACTTTTATGATACCAGCTAAAAGTTATATCCCTTTGTAACAAAACAATTTTGAATTAAGCTTCAGCGTAACACTTAGTCAACTAGATCTATTTACAACATTTCTGTCACATGCGAATTCAGGAATGATATGTAGTTAAAGTAGGTGAAGTAGAGTTCGCCTACTTTTGAAGCATGTGAGCGGGGTGTATTGTCACAATCCATGCCTCGCTGTGATTAATTTACCCATTATAGTCAGATACCTGCGATGTTGAATTGGTATATGTAATCTATATATATATATATATATATATATATATATATATATAATTCTCTTCTGGGAGACGCTAGAAAACAAGCTGTAAGCGCGCTCCCTACCACCCCACCCCTACATGGTCTGGTGAGCTGTGGTTCACGCTAAATGTTTACATTCGTAGAGCCGGGTTTAGTGACGGCTATTAGGGGTAGATAATATAGTTTGAAACGATTTTAAACTTAGGGGAGGTAACTAAGAGGAGGCTGCTTTCACGGGGGGGGGGGGGTGTAGGGGTTGGGGGAAAGGAGGGTGGGGGTAGGGGTTGGGGGAAAGTGTTTTAAAGCAAATATTTTCAGTGGCAGCATTGGCACTGTCGAATTCACAAATTATGAATTAATGAAAAGTAGAAAATAAAACAACTAAATAGCGGCGTATAATACGCCGCGGGTCGGCTCGTTTGGAATATTTCCCGGCAACCAACTCATGACCACCCAACCACATTCATCCTAGGCGCAGTAGAGTTCATCTGCCTCTCCCTATGTCTCTCCCTCGTCACTTTCTTGCACAAATTAATCAGCCTAATTAAAAGCTTACTTGACCTACATGCCATCTTTATGTAGTTGACGCTAATAAAAAAAAATCTATCGAACGCTAACAACCTTGATCTCTCTATTATCCATCGATAGCAAATATGACCTCTTCTTCTGCTGTCTAAAAACCAGCGACCGATTACGACCTTGACCTATAGACACTCTACCCTTCCTTCCTTCCTTCCTTATACGGAAACCGGCTCAGAAGATTGACTTTTATTAGCCAGGCAGTCCTCAGTGTAGCAAACTCCGACCACAAGAGTTTCCCACACATCGGTCGCTACTTCCGTGGGCTCTCACCGGGTTTCCTTCCCCACCAACCAGACGCGGGACGTCGTCCTACCGCCTGGTACCCAGCTTGATCGTGGGGGGGGGGGGGGGGGGGGGCGTTCGGCCATTCTTTGAGCTTAGCGCATACAGCAGCTCTACTCGGCCAGATCAAAAAACCTCTAGCTGCTGTTGGCTACCACTAGCCATTCCGCACCCACTAGGGGGGTCACTAATGGCACTCGTCCGAAGCCACGTGAAGGCCACAGCTTAAAGTCAAAATATCTGGTTAGGATCGCGAGCAGACCCCTTTTGGTTCCCGGCAGTCTTGCACCTCTCCTCCCCCACGCTATAATGTGGGGGACTTGGGAGTCCGACTTACCAGGCTCTTCGGACACCTTCTGCCCTAAATGCAGCGACCGTTGACGACCTTGAACACGGCCGCCGGAGCCATGAGCCGGCTCTAACCCGTACATTAATCACGTGATGCGGTCGACATATTGAGGCACGTCACGCCATCACGTGACCACATTCATCAAACAAAATATTTCAACAAAAAATAAACCGGTAGTGATCTCCCCTAAACTTTCTCGAATATTCTTATATAAAACAACAGGGGATGGTAACTGGGGATATAGTTATGATTTTTAATCCATTTTAAATACTTAAACTTTTAAAAATAGAATAGAATCTCATAAAAAAAAACATTGCGCACCAAGCAAACGCCGAATAAAAACGCGTATAATAGTGCGCAATATTATTAGTACTTTAAAAATTTACATTAGTTTTTTGAGAAATCGGAAGTAGCGTAAATTACTACTTCCAGTCAACGGAAATTACTCAAAATTTAACAGAAGGTAGAGAATTAGATCTTTTACTTACAAGTGAAATTTCATTTATCTATCTGAAATAGTACTCAAGTTATAGGCTTTTGAAAAATTCAAAGTAGGAAAAGTACCACTTCCGGTTATCGGAAATCGCTCAAAAGTTGATACGGATCTACGATTTTGATAAAATACTTATATATGAAATTTCATCAACCTAGCTGTAACGGTACTCAAGTTATCGTGTTTACACACGGACAGACAGACACACAGACACACACACACACAGACATACGGACAAGATTGCAAAATTATGTTTTTCCGTATCAGTGAGGTGTAAAACGTCGAGATTTGTAAAAATCTCGATTTTTTTTTTTTGCACGATTACAATACTTTCTCTATACTACGTATATACGAGAAAGTAAAAACACGTTCTCTAATGGGTGGATCCGGCCATTGCCTTGTATAATCCGACTTTGTGTTGAAACTATTTTTTTTAAATAAACGAAAAGGATAAAAAGTTAAAGGTTGGGTCACGTGGTATGGAGGTTAACGTAAGGATCTGTATACCATGATGGCTGGGGTGGACCTAGTGCTACTTCATTCATAAGTTTTTATATTTAGTATTGTCGGATTTGTTTTCTTTATTTTGGACTAACGGATTAGTAACCATGGGCTCACCCGCCCGACCCTAGTCTGACGACTGAGACCTGTGTAAATGAACCGGTGAGCTACACACAGTAAACAATGTACCTTGTGGCACCGGATGACCAACACATTAATGAATTGACGTCATTTCAATAGGATGACGTAACACTAAATATCGCCATTCACCTAAATGTCTTTACAGTTATATGACGTCACACTCAACAACCAATATCAGCCCGTGTATTTTGAATTTATTTAAAAAAAAAAAGATCTAAACCATTGCGCATGACAGCTAACTTCAAGACATCTAGTACAAAGACAGAATACGAGGAACTCTTGAATTACTTTTAACCTTTGAGGTCGTTTAGGAAGTGGCATTATCGCCGAACGTCGCGTTCGTAAAAAAACGACATGGGGTCGTATGGGAGTCACGTGATCTTTGGTTC